AATCTGTAACAATAATGCATGCTGGTTGGAATATAGAATCTAGCAGAAATATCAAGGGATGATAAAGTTTTCTAAATTTCCCAGGCCGACTTTAAGTAGGGCATACATTTTCTCATAATAGGCTCCCTGAGAGTATAATTTATTAGTCATACATGCTTGTTTTATCAGTGCTGTGGCGGGCTCATAAATTCCTTAAAGTCACACAAGGACACATAAAATGTTGGAAAATAGACAAATTCAGATCAGGTGTTCAGAAACCAGGGTGAATCCAGGTAGCGCACACTTAAGCATTAAGCCAGTTACCATTAAGCTTTCAAACTCTGCATAAATCTTCTTGAACTTGCTTGGGAGTTTCTGTCAAGAAAAGAGACAAGCACACATGTGGGAAGCCTGTAATCGAATCAAGATGGACTGAACTGCGTGTGTGGCAGACTGAATTTCCCCAACGCACGGTTCCTACAACACAGCCCCGAGATGGAAAAAGACTTGCTCTTTTGCCACAGGTTTACAACAATGCAGCTGCGGGAGGAAAATACAGTAAGTCTCCTAGCAACCAGATTATAAATAGAGAGCCACGAAGCTTTTAGCCGTTTGGGATCCAAAATACACCCCACACCACCCCCAATACCCTGGGAAATGCCAGAGAGATTTTCTCTTGGTTCGCAGAGGTTATGGAGCAGCAAAGCGGTCCACATACCAGTGTGGATTTCCCAGCGTTCATCTGTTTGGGGTTTTTTTTTGTGGGGAGGGGATGAAACATCTGTTTCAAGTTTCACGTCGGCCCCATCTTTAGTGCAGCGCATTTAAGAAATAAATAATGACGTCCTTGGGAGCAGTGATCTGGCGAAATTATTTACATTAAAGAACAACAGACCTCTACAATGTGTACACAGGCCAATTGTTCCTCAAGTGCGTACTTCCGGAAGGTGCAGTATAATATGAACTACCATACATAATCTGAACTAGCTCTGGAACCAAAGGTCGCTGTTTCTCTCTCTCTCTCTCTCCTTTGTTATCATTGCTAGAATACGTATGACTAAGGTCAGGATCCAACAAATGTATACACTAGTTCTCTGAGCTACAGGGGACTTTTGACTTGTTGTTTTTAAATGACCATCAGCTCCCTCACAGGAACATAGGAAGATGCCTTATGCTGAGTTCATTGCTATTAGGTCCATTGAGCTCATTAGCAGTCAGACCATTAGGTCCATTGAGCTCATTAGCATCCCTGTTGACTAGCAATGGCTATCCTGGGTTTCAGGCAGAGAATCCTTCCCAGCCCTCCCTGGAGATGGTAGGGATTGAACCCGAAACCTTCTGCACGCCAATGAGTACGACTGTACTCATTTTAAACATCTTTTTTTTATTATCTAACACTCAATTGTGGCCCAGTGAAGGCTTCTGAATACCAGTTGCAGGAACCTGAAGTGGGAGAGTGTGCTGCTGCAACTCAGATCCTGCTTGTAGGCTTCGCATAGGCATCTGGTTGGCTACTGTAAGAAAAGGATTCTTAATAATAATAATAATAATTTATTTATAGCCCTCCATCTGGCTGGGCCTCCCCAGCCACTCTGGGCAGCTTCCAACCAAATATTAAAATACAGTAATACATCAAACATTAAAAGCTTCCCTAAACAGGGTTGCCTTCAGATGTCTTCTAAAAGTTTGGTAGTTGTTGTTCTCTTTGACATCTGGTGGGAGGGCGTTCCACAGGGCGGGTGCCACTACTGAGAAGGCCCTCTGCCTGGTTCGCTGTAACTTCGCTTCTCGCAGTGAGGGAACCGCCAGAAGGCCCTCAGCGCTGGACCTCAGTGTCCGGGTAGAACAATGAGGGTGGAGACGCTCCTTCAGATATACTGGACCGAGGCCATTTAGGGCTTCTCAACTAGTAGGGTCACTGGCCTGATCCAGCACAGCCCTTCTTATGTTTGGTTCCACTGCCACTGTAAACAATGGTAAATGGTTTACTGTGAATGCAGAAATCACTACCACTTCACTCCTCCCTTAGCACAAGCAAAGGCACAGAACCACAATCCCAGGGCTTAGTGTGATGAAATCACTAGGAACCGCGACTTGTTTTGCTCTGAGCAAACCATGAATGGTAAGAGAAAAGGAAATCTTGACTTCATCTTGTGCTCTGTGGTGCCCGATCCAGATGTAATGCTCAGCTAGGGATCATGGTTCATTCTTCCCGGTAGGGGAGGAGCAAATTGGGAGAAGTCTCTGCATTCGTGGTGAACTGTCAATGACGGTTTACCACGATGTGCAAAAGCAGAAAAATCAAAGGAAGAAATGAAAGGCGGCGACATTTGTAGAACTAGGATTTACTCTGCACTCACCTCCCAGGTCATTGTGAGGCGGCTTACTGCAACGTTGCTCAGTCCCATGATCAAAGCGAAAAAGGAATTCAAGTTTTTGTATTCCTTGCAACTAGAAAAAAAGAGGTTCACAGTTTGATTGGGCGGGGGGGGGGGACAAACTGAGAATCAGAAAGCCTGGCTTCTAGAGTGCTTCTATATTTTGGAAGTATTCATCCAGACAAGTCTTATTATCATGCTTGTAGGGATATCCTACTGTATTTATTTTAGACTAACTCCTTCAGTTGCAATTCTGAGCATATTTTCTCACAAGCAAACCATCTGAATCACCCGGACTGACTTCCAAGTTAGCCTCTTGAGGATTACATCAAATCACAAGCAATTGTGAAACAAGAAAGGTTTAATAATACACCCACAATGTCACCACTTAGCGTCTTATTCTGATACTCCTTAAAAGACCTCTTCATACCACTTTATTTTTGTTCTACGTATTTCTTAATTCTCTTCCACTCAATAAACACCATCCTCGGGGCATTTCCAAAAACAATGCTCACTTAGCTAGGTTTTGGGAGTCCCATTCAGCAGAAATTCAGCTTCCAATTTAGAGAAACAAAACTAACATAACCTGCTAAGAGACAAAGGCCGAATTCAAACGTTGCTTCTGTTGGTGCAAGGGGACATTTCCCCATAAGATCCTATAGTGTTCTGGTAACCTACATGGTAATTTTTATCTCTGCTGTTGTTAGTTTTTAATGTTGTATTTGCATTTATGTTTTGATGTATGCCGCCCAGAAAATTAACTATGGGGGAGCAAAACCTATCGGGGGAAAAATAAGTTTTATACATCTGAATCATGCTCAGGTGAGGGAAATCACATATGTATTCTCCGTGCCAAACCTTCCCCTTATCTGTGATGAAATTGTCACGGGTAATACCCCCAGAATGCTCAGCACCCCAGCACAGGACTAGTCAATGTTTAGATGTTCTCGGACTCCAAATCCCATCATGTCACTTGTCAGGCACGATGGGAGCTGCAGTTCAGTAAATATCTGGAGGTGGTTTGTGGGGAAGAGATATCTGAGCTAAACTGTTAGGTTCTCCACTACTGGTTTAGGACAAGGCTAAGGAACCTTTCTCCCCACCCCCCATGAGGGTCCTTTAACTCATGGGGAAAGGCAAAAGTGGACCACATTTCATGGTGGAACAAGCAAGAACCAAAAGTGGGTGGAGCAAATAAAATAAGGAGGAGCCATTCCGTCTCTCTCCCTTTCTTTGGAAACCCAGACAAATCTATGGGCCACATGGTGCTTCCAGAGTTTTCTGGATCACAGCAAGTTCACATGGGTACAGCTTGAGGCAAGTCATTCTCAAACAATATCCACTCACATCCTTGAAATTCACCTATTTTGAGCAAAACTACATTTGATCGACCTCATGATCCCATTACATTTTCCTGTTTCACTGTATAGTTAACACACACACACACAAAAACATGTTGCCATAGTAGCGATTTTTTTTTTTTACTGCTAAGAACAGCTCCACGAAACTGAAATAACAGAAATAAGATGTCATCGTTTTATATTAGGAATATCAGATCTGCCCAACTATTTGCATTCAATAAATAAAAAAGATCCCGAGAACTTTAGCTATTTCCAATTTACAGAGATGGGGGGCAGGAATATTGACATAAACAGGAGGTTGTCAAACGGGAATTAACATGAGGTTAATCCTGTAAGTAGTGATTCTGGGATATTAGTTATCTGCTTGCCTCAGGCAATGCTGATGTTTTCCCTGATATTTTTTTTCCATACTGAAAGCAAATGTTCATCAGTGTTTGTGCGCCTAGGGGACGGGGGCTGTGTGTGTTTTAAAAATAGTGTATATAAGGAAATTGTTCAAATTATTTAGCTTAATGAAATTTATTCCTGTTTTCTGCTAATGATTAGGAAAAGGAACCACATTTTGTTCTTATCTATATGTGCTACTGCCCTCTGCTGGACAGAATGCAGAACAGCTCTGTGCAAAAATGGCTAAAAACGGGGATTCAATTCTCTTTACACCATTAACGCACTGCGAGTCTTTGAATGTGGCCTGCCACATTCCGTACCAGTATCATTGCACAGGATAATAATGGAAGCATAACCTATGCTACTGCAGTGGTGATGCTGGGTGTCCTATGGAGAATTTGGACTTTACAAAATGGGGAAAACCCAGAGTCTGGCAGACTGCCGCCATCACTAGCTGGTGTTAAGTAAAGGTAAAGGGACCCCTGACCATTAGGTCCAGTCGTGACCGACTCTGGGGTTGCGGCGCTCATCTCGCTTTATTGGCCGAGGGAGCCGGCGTACAGTTTCCGGGTCATGTGGCCAGCATGACTAAGCCGCTTCTGGCGAACCAGAGCAGCGCACGGAAACGCCATTTACCTTCCCACCGGAGCGGTACCTATTTATCTACTTGCACTTTGACGTGCTTTTGAACTGCTGGGTTGGCAGGAGCAGGGACTGAGCAACGGGAGCTCACCCCGTCGTGGGGATTCGAACCGTCAACCCTCTGATCGGCAAGTCCTAGGCTCTGTGGTTTAACCCACAGCGCCACCCGTGTCCCACAGGCAAAAACACTCATTCACCCAAGCCTTTGGATCTTTATTTTAGTGGGGTGGAGTGGAGTTAGATCTGTTTATTTATACACACACACACACACATATATATAATATTATATATATATATATATGTGTGTGTGTGTGTATTTTAGGCTGTTTAATTATATGTTTTACGTTTGCTTTTAATGTTCTTTTTTTTTTGTAAGTTGCTTTGTGTCTCATTTTGGCGATTGGGAAGCAACAAATAAGTACCGTATTTTTCGCTCTATAGGAAGCACTTTTTCTCCTCCAAAAATGAAGGGGGTGTGTGCGTCCTATGGAGCGAACGCAGACTTTTGCTGAAGGCTTTCTCCAGGCTTCAGGGATAGCCGCATGAAGCCTTTGGAGCGCAGCGGGAACTCGGGTTGTGCTCCAAAGGCTTCGGGTTGCTTTTGCTGAAGCCGGGAGAGCTGCGTCTTGAAGCGCGACTGGCGGGGTCTGCGCAGCTTGCCCCGAGGCAGCTTGGCTGGCCGGGTGGGTTGAGGGAACTCCTCGGCTATGCAGATGAAGTGCGGCATCACCGCCTGGTAGCTCGAGCAGATGCCCAGCAGCTCCGCAGGCTTGGCGGCGGCGGCGGCGGCCATCAAGTGGGGGAAAAAGAAAAGCAGCAAAAAAGGGAAAGCCGAGAAAGAGCGCGCGCGCCAGAAAACCAGCGCCCCAAAGAGCGCCTCGCGCTTGGGTCTCGCTTTGTGCTGCTGCTTATTCTTCGCTGCCTTGAGGCGTTTCTCTCTAATGCGAGGGAGACCCGGGTGAAAAAGGGGAAATTTGTGTGCGGAAAACCGCCGGAGGTGGGGCGAGAGGGTGGCTTCTGCCGCTTCGCAGCTGAAAAAGCGCGCTGGGGAGGGAGGGCTGGTGGCGGCGACTGGCAGAAAGAAGCGCGCGCTCCGCTGGTGCCGACACAAGCAATGCCATTTAAAGGCGGTGAGGCCGCTTCCCTTCTGCCTGACGACGATGTAGACGCGCACTCCCACCGCCCCTCTCCCTCACCGCCATGGGGGGATCGCTCTTCCAAGGAAAGCCCTGCCAGCACCCACCTCAGAAACGGCCGGGGGAGGGAGCGAAGGGACCCAGAATACGAGGCGGAGGTGGGAGGGGAGACGAGGAACGCGCCAAAACACGTCGCCCCTGCCTGCTGGGGGAGCGGGGGTTCCTGGAGAAGAAGCGCCCCCTTTTTTTGCAGGGGGAGGCGGCGAAGGCAGCTGGGAAAGGAGACGCGAAATAGGCACGATGGGATTTCCCGACTTTCTTTCTTTTTTTAAAACTTTGAAGCAGCCACAGGGGAAGCATAGAATCATAGAAGTCCGACTCCGATCATAGAATTGTAGAGTTAAAAGGGGTCCCAAGGGTCTTCTAGTCCAACCCACCGCAGTGCTAGGGAATTTTATTAGCAGCGTTTACGGGGGGGGGTTAAGCGCGCAAGTGTGGATTTAAATCACACTCCCCACATGGTCTCTTTCCTTCCTCTTTGCAGCCCCAAATCCTGGCTGCTGTTACCCCACCTGCACTGGGGACAGTTTTCACACACAAACACGACTTAAGACGGCAAAAATATCAGTGCAGACATACATCGTGTCGCTTGCAAAGCAGCGCTTGGTTTTGTCAACCCGATTTGGAAGGAAGATGTCTTTGGGATGGTTGGTCTGGGGCTCTGTCGCTTCAGCCCCCCTAACCCTAGCCTTGTGCTGCAAAATAGATCCCCACATCAATTTTTTTGATTTCCCCCCCAAAAAACTAGGTGCGCCCTATGGTCCGGTGCGCCCTATGGTGCGAAAAATACGGTATAATAAATAAGAATATAAAATCATGCAATGGTCAGACCGCTCCTAGACAATTCCTTTCTCACAGGCAGTCTGAGAGGCAATAAGAAATAACTATCTCTGATGCAGAACAAAATCTTCATACAAAAGAATTCTTACTCATCCTGCCAGAGACAGAAAACCGATCATGTGAAGTCTACAGCAGTCTGCCGTGGCTTCCAGTCCATGGCAGGTGTAATAGCCCAAATTAAGGACATATTTTACACCTCTCTTGCCATAGTGCAATCCTGTACCTTGGTTCTCAAACGCCTTGGTTCCCAGACACCAAAAACCCGGAAGTAAGTGTTCTGGTTTTCGAACGTTTTTCGGAAGCCAAAGGTCCGATGTGGCTATCAGCTATTGTTTCCGGAGTGCCTGCACCAATCAAAAGCTGTGCCTTGATTTTCGAACATTTTGGAAGTCAAACCAATTTCCAGAACAGATTAAGTTTGGTGCTTTTGTTTTTGCTATTTATTTTGCGTTTTTGCTTTTGAGGCTTTTTTGGTTAATTTGTTTTTGTGACTGTGTGGAACCCAGTTCAGCTATTGATTGATTGATTGATTGATTGTGTGACTGTGGAAATGGATAAAAGCCCCCCAGCCAAACAATGACTACCATCAGTGCAGGTAAGAAAAAATAATAATTTTAATTTGTATCATCTACAATACTGCCTTATTTATTTTATAGTACAGTACACTGATTATTGCTTTAATTTTATGGATCAATGATCTCATTAGATAGCCAAATTTATGTTCAATTGCTGTTTTAGAGGTTGTCTTAAAAAGTCTGGAACAGATTGATCCGTTTTGCATTACTTTCTATGGGAAAGTGCACCTTGGTTTTGGAACGCTTTGCTTTTGGAAAGGACGGATTAAGTTTGAGAACCAAGGTACCACTGTACATGCCTACTGAAAAGTAAGCCCCATTCAGTTCAGTGGGACTTCCTCTCATTCCCAGGGAACTTTACAGGAGTTGCAACGTTAAAGTCGTTGAGCTATACTTACTGGGCTGCAATCTTGATGAACTTCTTTAAGAGCTGGACACGTTTGCTGAGTTGGGAACAAAGACAAATCTCTGTGACTACCCAGAACTGGAGTTCATTGAACCTTCGCAAAAACAAATCCAGATTCGCTGTGGTCTTCTTAAAATTGTGTCTCCCAAATGTGTGGTAGACCAGTTCCAACTAGGGGAGGGGAAAAAGGAGGAGGGGAAGAATATCAGGGTTAGACAAATGATTTGTGCTTTTTTAAAAAGAAAAAAAAGAACCGCCCTGGAACAAATCTCTAGTTACGTTTCCAAATAGCCTGAGGGTTGGATCTTGCTATGTAGCAAGCGTTCTCTGATCACATTTCTGTTCCTCCTCTCTTCCCAAAAGCTGACTAAATTCTCCTTCTAGTTGTTTGTAGTAGACAAGAGTCTTGCCAACTTATGAATAAGTGCACTGGCCACACCTTTGCATAAGTTTGTAAACCAACCATTAACTTCCATTAACTATAGTTTCCCATTTTATTGTTACTTGGAAAATACGGCTGAAAGCTTCGGAACAAGCCAGGATATATGAAAGAGCCCAACATTACGCGCTGTTAACTAAGGTTGCATTCACAAAGCAGTTTATTCCATTTTCATGACTTTCCCTGTTAAGTTCCACATTATATTGGAACTATAGTGGAAAATGCTGCAAGTTTGCTTCTCTTTTCCATGTTAGTTGCTACAAAAGAAGCAGAGAGAGCTCTGTTTGCAAATAGCATGAAAATGAGTGCTAAACTTGATTTAACCTGCATTTCTGGACGTGGCTTTTAAATCACATGAAGGGCCAAATATAAATTAAAAAAAATAAAAACAGAATAAACTGCCGTGTGAATGCAGCCTAAGTTAAAATTTTATAAGCAACAATGTAAGATTAGGTTTGATAAGAAAGTATTTGAACGTATTTCAATTTCTCCCAAATAGTGTAATATTTCCAGAAACAGAAACATTTTCCTTTCACTTAAGAATTGGCAGAAATGTTAGAGCTCCCTGGTGTGCCAAATGGCATTCTGCACTTGCAGTCTGAAGTGATAAAACTCACTCTACCGCCTCTGGATTTTACCACCGAATTTTGCAGCCCAGAAGCACTCCGTCCAGGGGGGTCAGAGCTGCAAGACTAAGTTCCTGGCAAATGCGCTACTGCTGCTTACTGGGAGAGAGAGACGGGTGTGGGGGCAAAGGAATGGGAAGGCCAACATGGTGTAGGTGCACTGGGAAGAGACCTAGTTCTGTCGCAACTCTGCCCTGCCATGTTAGCCACTTCTGTCTCAGCCTTGTGATGGGACAAGCACAAGAATTCTTCTCACCTCATGCACGCAGTTGAAAAGCTCCCACTCATAAATGGTCATTTGATACGCTAAGTCTTTGGAGCTCATGAGTTCAAACATTCCCACAGTCCCAGTCGATGGGCCTTCTTGTTCCTGCAGTGGAACCTGGGAAAAATAACGACGAAGCTCTCTGTAAACGTTCTTATCCACCTGATCTCTCACTCTGTTTTAACAGTTCTTTTTCTGTTTTGCTTTTTTGCACGCTTGTATAAGATTGACTGTGTGGATATTGGTCACAGCACAAAACAAAAATAATGGCTTCGAAGTTAAATGCACAACACGCACATTGCTGCATAAACGCACAGAGAAAAGCATACAGGGATGATTGTCACTGTGAGCTAGGTAAGGGCAAGCGGGACTCATCAACCTGCAAAGGTAGCCCATCTAGGAGAAGGGAAACTCTTATCCTAAACCTCTGCTGCCTTGTGGGATATCTTCAAGGGAAGAAAAGGCTGAGTGCAATCCCTAAGACGGTTGGATGGTGCCTTGTACGCCCCCTTCCAGCAACTCCCTGCAGCCAAGCTGGTGCCAAACCTATTTGCTCTGCTTTCCTTTGGACCACATCAGCAAGGCTGAGAGGGGGGCCTTGTCATCTGGGCAGCCCAGGACCTCCACACACACTGCCCCGGCTTGTGCTCTGGGGAGGTCACTTTGACGCTGCCAGCACAGCGATTTGACTTCACCCCTGGAGGCTCTGTCCATTGTCTCTTGAGACAGGTGGATGCCAACAACGTGAGCTAGGTTTCATTGTTTTCCTTGCTGCAGGAAACGAATAATGATAATTTTTATTTATACCCCGCCCTCCCCAGCCAAGGCTGGGCTCAGGGCGGCTAACAAGCAATAATAAAAACAAGTTGAATGATTACAACTTAAAAACAAAATTAAAATACAACATTAAAATATTGAAACATTAAAATATTAAAATGTAGCCTCATCACAGGAGGAGAAAGAAAAAAGA